TCTCTCTCTGTCTGTCTCTCTCTCTCTGTCTGTCTCTCTCAGGCGGATGTCAGACGGTCTGTTTCTCAGAAAGTGTCGTGAGGTTGCAGAGAACTACAAAGACATCAAGTTCACTGAGATGTACCTGGACACAGTTTGTCTCAATGTAAGTTCTCATGCGTGGTGGATGTGGGGAAATCCATCGTTTCTCCGATGCATCGCGACGTTGACGTCTCTGCATCGATGAGACGACGGAACATAATCAATTCATTTACTTTTGTGTTCATTGATTCGTCAAGTTTTTAAACACGAGCGCACGTAGTTCATCTGATACACAAACACGAGACGCGTTTATCCAGGACATCGGGGTTAAAGTGACCGGAACGTTCGGGATTCATGATCCGACATCATCGATTAATAACTAAATTCATTTGATCATCAGTGTTTGTGACAGAGACGAGCAGACACATGATGCTTCCAGACGGGGACACGGAAACATACAGACATCCTCTGTGATGAAATGTAGGATCAGTGTCCATTGTCTCTGAGTTGATGTCCTGACGTCCTCGTCATTCTGTGTCTTTCAGATGGTTCAGGACCCGACCCAGTTTGACGTCCTGGTGATGCCGAACCTGTACGGAGACATTCTGAGGTGAGTTTTTTTATTGGCTGGATGAGAGTGAGACGTGTCGGAGGATGAGTGGAGGACGTTAACGTGGAGGAGATGTCTGTGTTTCAGTGACCTGTGTGCCGGTCTGATCGGAGGACTCGGGGTCACGCCCAGCGGGAACATCGGCGCTAACGGGGTTGCCATTTTTGAATCGGTGTGTTTCTCTTTGATTTTAAATGACGTACAGAAACGCTGCATTTGCGCCAAGATCTGAACCTGAGCGTGTTTGTGTTGCTCCTTCAGGTCCACGGCACCGCCCCGGACATCGCCGGCCTGGACATGGCGAACCCCACCGCCCTGCTGCTCAGCGCCGTCATGATGCTGCGTCACATGGGTCTCCACTCCTACGGCAACAAGATCCAGACGGCCTGCTTCGACACCATCAGAGATAAGAAGGTGAGATTTACTGCAGCGGCTCACAGACGCCAACACGGTTGAGTCACGTGATGAAACAACTTCCTGTCAGTAACAGTTCCATGTGAATGGTCATGTGACACGTGAACGACTCATCTGCTCGTCTCAGGAATCACATTTGTTCCAAACAGAAAATTCTGAATATTAGAGAACTGATTCTTTGAGTGAGTCAGATGAGTCGTCGGTGACTGACGATCATGTGATTGACATGTAGATCACATGTTTCTGTTCCTGCTGTGTGACCTAGTGAGACCTAGTCAGTCTACCACAGTGTTGTTACCATGGAAACACTGAGGATGATGATGTTGTTGATGAAGATGACGACCTGACTGATGAAGGCTCTCTGTGTCTCAGGTTCTCACTAAAGACCTCGGAGGAAACTCAAAGTGCTCGGAGTTTACGTCAGAGATCTGTCGACGTGTTCAGGATCTGGAGTAGAGCAGCTGTCGGAGCCCGAGTCTCCGCCCACCAGAACCAGCTCTGTCACCGGCCCCGCCCCTTGTTCCTCCTGCTCCTGGGCGGGGCTTCTGCAGGAAGCTGTGTTAGTCACAAGATAAAACATTCTGAGAAAACACGCACAAGTTTGACCAACTCTGAAAGAAGTAATTTCTTTAAGTATAATGAATAACAATATTGATATCTTTAGTCTGCCTCTGTTGTCTCGACACTCCGGATATTTAATATTTTTTTAACGCTGATGCAGTTTGACTTATTTATTGTTTCTACTTCCTGTTACTGTGGAGCTGCTCTGTTCAGGTTCACTCAGAAATATGAGCTTTATGTATAAAAGATGTTTCAAATCAACAAACATGAAGCGTCGCTGCTTTAACGTGTTCATTCTTCAATAAAAAGGGCTTTTCAAACGTTCGGGCTGATGAAGGTGATGTTTGTTGAGGGGGCGGGGTCTGAATCACATTATCATCTCAGACTGACAGATCTGTGGTCGAACATCTGTCCAAACATCTGTCAGGATCTTCACCAGGTTAAACTTGTCTGAAGATAAGATCAGTTTCTGATTCACCTTAGTTGTGATTGAGCAACGCACGCACACGCAAACACGCTCACACCGAGGATCAACGTCACAGGACCACGCCCCCCTGCCCCGCACAAAGCTGCAAGACGACAGACCGGAAACGGAGGACTCACATTCGAAATAAAAGCCCGTGGTGGAGCCACACTGGATTTTTCTCATCAGGCTGGATACAGGAAGTTACTGACACAAAATAACACATTCAGAATCATTTACTCTTAAAATACATGTCAACATGTCGGCGACTCTCTGGGATCCTTCCACCGGATCGGCCACCATCCCGGGGAACGAGCCCAGCAGAGAGATCCCCTTGTGGGTCCGATGTCGCTGCCCTGTCACAACATTGTCCGGATGGGACTCACCTGTCCGGCCCCGCAGCGTGGACTCGGACTGTCCACTCCCCTGTCGTGATGACCCGCAGCTGTCATCCACAGTCCCGGTCCTCCTGACTGAGCTCCCGGGCTGTGACAGTCCGTGTGACGTCGTCATCACAGTGTGAACTGACCATAAAGTATTTGAACGATCTTGTAAGTTGTTAAACTTCTGTGTGTTGTTGTTGCTGGTCTCATTTCCTGTCTGGGTCGTGGAGTCTGGCGTTCTATCAGAGTCCTCCTCCTCCAGCTCGGCTCCAGTCCACCTGCAGAGCTCTTCACCTTTCATTCACTATTTGAATCTCTTTCGGGACCGTCCCTCCTTCAGGCCGGACACCATTCACCCATACGGGCTGGGTAGCCGCATGCTAACAGCTAACACGCAGCACGCCGAACAATCTACCGCCCGGCACCTTCCTCACACACCTGCCGCCAACCACGTGATCGCGTCAGTCCGGAGCCGACCTGTCCACTCTACGTCACTGGTCACACGTCACTGACCACACGTCACGTCTCCTCTTCTGAGCTGCAGCCAATCAAAGTTCCTCTTAACAGTTCATGGATTCATAATGAATTCGTTATTCACCACGTGTCTGGTCCTGCCCTCAGGAGAGGACACACTCTGGACCTTTGACCCGCGGTTTAAACTTTGACTCAGTTTCCTCAGAAGACATGTTACCTGTCCAACCTGTCTTCAGTATGTCTGTCCAGTCCGGGACCTTAAATCACCTCACTACTAAAAGGTTA